GCACTGAAGCCCGACCACCACGTCAAGGTGGCAGCTTTAGGTCGGATGAGTTATGTCTGATATAATGGAAAATTATAACTGCCGGCCTAGTCACTTGTTGACTCCGTCCTCGAAAACCCTCATGTACCTTGTTTAGTAACTGTTGTAGCGTCACTGATTGCAGCCGTATTTGAACATCCATTCCCTGGTTGTCTATATTCTTATCCTCACTAGAATCTCGAACTGTGGGTCCTCTTTTCTCCTGCACTTCACTACGAAGGGAACTGGTGTGAAAAGCATGCCTTGCCTGTGTAGATCAAATTTCCACTCTTCAGGGTGAAACACTTCTCTACTGACCGTAAACCAACAGTCGATTTGTGTCCGAACCTCAAAGTGACGCCTGACTCCTAACCAATAGGTTTTTAGGACTAGCTATGCTCCTTCACATGAGCCGAGATTTCATTCTGTGGGCGAAGTCAAACTATACCGAAAAAGCCGAGAAGCGTCGTGCGGTTGTTTCATCTTCAGTTGTCATCAGCGTAGTGGAATTGCAACACGATGATGTCCTACTTTTCCCCTTAGTAGTCACTCATTTAGAGCTTACTTACGAAATCTTTTTAATCGGTAGTGCCGCCAAAGAAGTGTGGATTGTTTTATATCGACTGGCGGATGAAAGATACCTTGTTTTTGCCACAGTTTTGACATGTCTGCTTGCATTCACCTTGTGTGGCCAACGGCATTGTCTATCTTGTGGTTTGTGTAACTGGGTGACTATATCAAGGGGAAATTCATACACTCATCAAAACCATGTCACCGCTTGCTGTTTTGAGATGTGATGTGGATGTGATATTCCTTTCAAGTGTAGGTTTTGCTGTGCCACAGTGTGCACCGTCTTTATGTATTGGTGCGCGGGATGACCTCAGTTTAGGTGACGTTCGTGGGCATATCTGGTAACAACGAGTCAGGTCTGACTTGGTGCGTCAGCGGTGGGTACTGAGATTCCCCACTTGGTTGATTCTGTTGCTATGTTGATTTTAATAGTTTGGGCGCATGTTATGCGTCTCCATTCAGCATCTGCCATGTCTTGCATTGCACGTGGTGGGTGGATGTGAGAGAAACGAGTTACAAAATGTAACCAATGGATCAGGTAAAGCAACATACCTAACTCTCTGGTGAAATTGACTTCCTAGATGGGGACCGTAAGATTCTATCGCTTATTGGCGATGCTTGAGTGCATGAATCAGCCAGCTACCGAAAGCGTTTCACAGCTGAACGATTACTTTGTTACTCAGAATTAAAGTCAGGTGAATGGATACTCGAGTACTGACGCCGTGAACATCTAATCTACTAACCAGAGGCAGGAGTCTGTGCATTTGTGTGAACAAATATCCTGTTCCACAATTATCCTATACCTTCATGATTCTTCGACCATGCTGTCTGATAACAATTTGTGCAGAAAAGCCGGCGTCCTGGACGGATTGGTCGATTAATGACGATTGAAACTCTGCACACTTGTCCATAGTTGGTAAGTCACAAGATTTCTGCGAAGCCGAATGTGGGGCCATATGCGATCCGCCAATTCCGACACGCACTCGAGCAAATGAGATGAGTATACAAACCCCGATGGTCTGTTGTGCTTCACCAGATGGTCTGAGCATAGTGGCGTCATCATCGTCATCATCATTGACAGCATGACATCAGTGTTCAACACCGATGCTTCACTGCCGTACAACCATGACTTATTTGAAAGCCTTATTGTAAAGAAAAGAGTAAAGGTGGACGGGGGATGGACTTAGTGCCAGCTTAACACAATCATTCCGAGGTGCCTACACCTTCAGACATTCACTCAGGCAATCTGGATAGAAACTGACAACAAGAACGCCACTGACATCGGTTGGCAGCCATATCTTGTAGTGTCTCCAACCAGGCACAGTGAGGATCACGCGGTCCCCATCCTGGACTGCACTGGTCCACTCATCTACAGGCGTTGGTTCTACCAACGACAGTTCCACCAATTTGCAACAGAATATCACCGCATAAGTAAAAGTGCCTTATGGGTGGGCAGTTATCTGATTGCCACTTGTACCGCTACTCTTATTTTTCAAATTGGGCATGTTCCTGCCTTGGCGCCATCACATATCTATAGAAACCAGCCCTGTTCTGACGTTACCATTAAAGTTTGTGCAGCTTCTATGCACATAAGTGAAATTACCTTAGACGGTAGCAGTGCAGAATGAATAGTTAAGCTAGGGGATAGTTGAGTGGTTGGGAAGTCCGAAAGGTCTGTGATTTGAACGCAATTTCAGAATTTTCATTAGTCCTGTGTAGGCCTGAGCGACCTAGCAGTATCGCAGCCTTCATGCATTCCTCAATTTGCACAGCAGTTATGCTGTCGATGATGATAATCGAAATTGCGCGATTCTTGTTCGGTCCAGGGGGGATAGGACGGATCATCCCAAGCTGGCCTGGTACATGATAAGTTTAACGATGGTGAATTACGGGCTTTTCCATCTAATATACTTGTTTCAGTGGTTTACTTTCTTAATAATTGGTATGTTGCAATGGTTTTGTTTTCAAGCCGAACATCAAAATCCAGACGTGCGAGCTCAGCGGGGCATGCAATGGATATGGTTCGAGGACCGCTGCGTCGTTCCGCTAGACTCAGCAAATTGCGAGCTTCATCTGCTCCAAAGATTGTTGCGCCCGACCTGTCAACGGAACACAGTCAACATGGTTACAGTAAAGTAAGGCTATAATTTAGTTCTGAACTTATGTGTTTGGGTCCTCCTAAAGTGGCTTTGACTAGTTTCACATCTTTTTCACTTCTACAGTCACCACCAGCTGGGCACAAGCGGCGGTCTGACGATTCGGACAATTCCTACTACGGCGTAGAGATGAAGCGTAGTCTTCTGACCATACCACATACGGCGCATCACCTACCCTCTACGGTGACGGGAGAGGATTCAGACTCCTCCAACTTTCATTTTAGTTAAGTCTCGATCGGCCGGCAACAGAACACAAACAACGCCACCACACCGGTTAGTTTTTTGTTGACTCCATCTGTTGTCTTATACTTATGGGCTTTGAGATGATCTTTTGTTGCCAGCCTTTCTTCCAAATGCTCGTTGTAGCCTACTTAGTTTTGACAGCATAGGTGGCTGAACACTCGAGGGCACAAGAGCAGGTCAGATGAAGTAAGGTGACTTCTAATTCAGACTCATCTCTGAACAGGATTGTTTCTGAAGCGTTTGGCCAAATATGCGGACTGTCTTTTCGTTTTTCCTGATGGCGGTCTCCTTTGTTGACAGTCAAACTGGGTGATGGAAGGTACTTTTGATAGCGCAAGTTCTTACTTCCTGAGCGTCCTCTATCCAGCAAAGTTCTAGTTCTTTCCTTTAATTCTTCACTATTTATTGTTTGAGGGATCTGTGTAATTTTAGCCACTGCCTGTCGGCACTGGTACTTTGTAATTATTTAGGGTCCTTTGTTCGCGCTGGAGAATTTCGACAAGCAGCTTTGAAAGTCATTACATAGCTCCTATCACGGGTAGGCCATACCCAACCTGGGTGTTCTTGACTATTATTATATATGCAGAATTTTCATCGGCTTAATGGGTATTGTCAGGCTATGGTAGCTCAACGGAGATGGTGAATCTACGAAGTTCTGGGGTGAAGCGGACTGTCAAAAGCATCAACACTATATCGTGATAGCAAAGATAACAAACATTACTAGTAACGACTACGTAGGTGAAATCTGACGTGTGAAAGGAGCTCTACCAGTGGCATTCAAAGCCGTCTGTTAGACTTGTCCGATACCATCAAATGACCACTGGATATCAAGTTTGCTAGTTCTGAATGATGCTATGATATCCATACCGACAGACGTCGAATATCTTGACGCACACAAGCCCATGAAACGCCAACTAGTTAAGAGTCTAAGGATAGACCGAGATCTTCTGTGGACAGTGGAAGCCCAGTGGATGAAGAAGCCTTTTGCCACCGAAAATATTCGTGCTATATACCCCTTAATACGACCGACTGGCCACAGCCACTACCATTGAAACAATGACTGAAAAAGGCAGCTCAGTTATTCGTTCGCAAAAACGCCAATTAGGAAGATGAGCCAAACAATGAATAACAGTAGATTTGGTCGCCTGTATCATCTGTTCGAGACAGTGTGTTCAGCAGATGAGGTGTAGAGGGTCGAAACACGAAAAACGTGACAAGGCACTAGCACTAGACGGTTTTCATCCTCTTTAAAGCCATCGGGTGGAGGTTCTTTGATTACCGGTATCTCAAAAGCGCAGCTGTGATTGACTGGGATAAGCAAATTAGAATTGAGCTAATCAGAAAACAGGTCTTTACTGAAGTGTAAGCTATTTCACTCAGATCTGCATCTACCTTTGTAGGCGGAGGCGGCTGCCCCATGTGTCGCGCATGTCACCTGCCGAGAAGGGTGTTGTTTTACGTATTTAGCTCGCAGTGGCGAAGCCTGGAGTTTAACAGATTATGGCGTGGTAGGACAGAGTGAAAGATGTTACGTGAAGTCTGGATGTTAGTGCTGTTCACCTTCCAGGATGGGCACCCACGTTCCCCTCCATGTGCTTGGCTGTTGAATCCAGCTTTTTTCTTGTCAGTGGCGTCTATGCCGTCAGCCTCTGTCCAGATTTTCGGGATGATTATTGGTGTAGGCACCTCGGATGTTTGTGGACTAGCCCTAGGTTCCTCTCCCTGTACCAGTTTTACCTCTATTATGACGGTTCATTCATTTGAACTAACATGGCTGTACGGCAGCGGAGCATCAACGTCCTGTTATGTTCCTGTCCTGGATGGTGATGACACTCGCGGAGCCTCATGACTTATT